ATTCCCGGGCCCCACCACTTGTCTCCAGAGGGTCAGGGCAGGGACCAGGGATTTGTATGTGAGAGCAGTATCCTCAATGCTTTGATGGAAATGAACTTCAAAATGTATTTTGAGAATCACTAGTGTAGAATATTATATTACTTTATTTAAAAAGAGGTGGGAGGGAAATAATATTTACTGAGTTCTTATTACCTATAGCTTTTGCACACACCATGTCATTTCATTATGACCAAAATTCTGTATCCACAAGTTAGTCAGGGCGTGCACCTAAAGTCTGGACTCCTCTCTTAACAAGGGTGCCGCCTGTTCCTGAGATGGGAGACGGTCATGGTGTGCAGGAAGGTTGCCCAGCCTGGGTTTGGTGTGTGCTTGTGCCAGGCCCTGTCCCCTGAGCCAGCTTCCACATGGCCCCAGAGTTATCTAGCAAATGCAAATCTGACCATGGCATAACATTGTACTATCTTTATTACTCTGTGGCTTACTTTTTTCATCAAGCAGTACAATTTAGACATCTTTTTGGTTGGGTTCCCTGGTTTTTTGCCCAAGGAGGACAATTTTTTTTGGAACGGCCATTAATGCAAAAAAAATGAATAAATAAAATTAAGTATCATTAATCAAGCCTGTTGACTGCACTGTTAACTTGGAGCTGGGGTGGTTTGTGGCTCGGATTCAGTTAATTTCTGTTCCATGGCAGCAGGCTGTGTGTTTTATCCGCTAGTCTTGAACATTTACACCATGAGTCAAGAAAATGTGTGGACGGATTTGCACAAACTCATCACTATCACTGGAAAAGCTTAAGGAGCACATTCTGCTGATCGTTGGTCAGGAGAACTATATTTTCCATTATGGAGCAACATGTTTTTGTTTAAGACTAACTTTGGTTACAGTTATAGCTGGTGTTTTTGAATGCTTTCAGAAGACTAGTCCTGGGGTGAACCCAGACTCCTGGATTCTGTTCTTTCAAGGAATCTCTTAGCAATAAGATTCAGAAGTGTCTGTTCAATCCTAATCAGACTTCTCAAACATTGTGTATGTGTGAGGTAACCCCAGAGCTTGTTATAAATTATACAGATTCCTTAGTCGCTCTCATCCTTCACTGTTAAGGCACCATAGAGCTGAGATGGTTTTATTGATGAGCCCCACCAAAGTGTGGGAAATAGCCGACCCCAAACTTCTCTAACTCTACCGTTGCCAGCCCAGTCTAAGCCACCATTCTTTCTAGCCCAGACAACAGAAGAGCCTCCTGACTAGTTATCCCCACAACAGCAGGTGTCATCATCTTAACATGCAGATGGAGTTAGGTCATTAACTTATTTAAAACAATTATGTGGCTGCCCATTGAGATTAGATTAAAAGCAAAAGTCATTTAAATGCTCCATGGGACATGCCTGATGTGGCTGCTGCTTATTTCTCCAACTCCACCACCATCTTCCTCTGCATTCCTATTTTTCTTTCTATTTTTCTTTTCTCTTTGCCTCTGTTTTTTTTTTGGGGGGGGGGAGTGTTGATTTGAGAGAGAGAGAGGGAGAGAAGGAGAGAGAGAGGCATCAATTTGTTATTCTACTTATTTATGTACTCATTGGTTGATTCTTGTATGGGCCCTGACCAGAGATAAAACCCACAACCTTGGAGTGTTGGGATAATTCTCTAAACAACTGAGCTACCTGGTCAGGACCTGCTTGTTTTCTTTTGGCTCCTGGCCCATATCAACGCTTTTCCCATCTGTTTCTACCTACCCTTCAAGTCTTAGCTCTTAACATTGTTTGCAGGTAGTTTTTATCGCGCGCTCTACTACCAGTCAACGTAAAATGTATAAATACGTTTCCCGCATACAATGTGTTAAGTCATCTCTCTCCTCAGAAGGTCTTCTTCCATCATCGCACTCTGCTTTCCCACCACCTATCAAAGATATGCTGTGCCTTTGTGTCCAGTGACTCTCATGCAGAAGTGTGGGCTCCATGAGCATGTTCATATCTGTAGGTCAACATCTAACACAGACCTGACACATAGTAGCTGCTCAAAAAGAAAGGAGCAGTCAGGGCCTGGTCATGGATGGGCATCCACCTCATAAAAAACTGTACATAGTATACTAAGCATCCAGATATGTTGGATGTTGTATTAAGAGTCTGATAACAATTATTGTTGCCTTCCAGAAATCCGATAATGAACCTGAAGCACAGCCATGTGAAAGAAACATATTCAAGGATTTATAAAAACTTAACAGATGTGGCAGCTGAGATATCAAGCAGGAGTGAAGCTCAGGAATAAACAAATACCTAGTTCCTAGTAGCCAGTGTTTACCTTGGAGGAAAGAACTCATTCTCATGGCTGGGCAGAGGTGGCAAGTAGCATGTTTAACCCCTGATATTATCGAAGAGCCCCAAACCATAACAAAGTGAGTATGGGCCCCCTGCCATGCACATTTCCCATATTTAGAAGGGATTTCTGTATCTCCTCCTAATATTTGAAAATGGCTGACCTTTCAAAATTATTTCAGGATGGGTATGTAACTGAAAGATTTTTGAGATGCACTGACATACTATTCTTGCAGATTACTTGTAATACCTCTAAGAGTATGGCCTGTATAGCTTTAGTAACAATCATAATAGTTATCCTTTATTGAGAGAAGTGATTATTGATATTCCAGACTTTATTTATATCATTTAATTCCCACAATGACCTTGTAAGGTTGGTTATAGAAGTACCCTCATTTTATAGCACAGGACACTAAAGTTTGAATAAGTTGGGTACCTTGCTGAAAAGCACATGAGAAATGAGTGAGAGGGCCCTCTTCAGACCCAGGGAGCCTGACTCTTCCTGTGCTGTTCACTCCTAGTCCTCTCACGATACTCTTTCTTGAACTCTGACAGATGGCACAAGGTTGCGGATTCCCCCATCCCTGGATCAGCCCCCATCCTGCTCTGGTGACTCAGGAGCTGCTTATGCTCTGAATCCGAAAGTGAGGGAACCCGTCTCCAATCCCCATTTCTCCACAGTGGACTGCTTGCTTAAGAAGTCAGCTCATCTACCGGCAGGCAATGACCAGGTCTAGGATTATGGAAGCGAAAGCAGACTGTTTCTCCTGGTGTCTGTATCATTTAAGAATTGGTGCAGCCGCATATAACATCTACCCTACCCACCTCTCCGCTAAAAACAAAACAAAAGTAAAAAATGAGTGACTTACAAATTACACTAGACAGACATTTCTTGGTCATGTAAAAGGGACGTAACACTAGGTAGAATGTTTGGTTCTGTTACAGCAGCATCATGATTGACAGGGATTCAGGGCTCCTTCCACCTTGCTATTTGCTCTCCTGCCCTAATGCATAAGTGACCTCATTTCGAAAGTGGCTGCTTGAGTGCCAGTCATCCATCATGTCCCTATTCATCCAGGAAGGAGGAAGCAGTTAAGAAAGACAAAGGGCATGTGTCAGCTGTCTTTTAAGGTGCCCGTAGCACTTCTGCTTGTATCCATCTCCGTGGTGGTCTGGACTTAGTACAGTGGGCCCAGCCAGGGTTTGGGAGCCGGGCACTTGCCTAAACCCAGGGGTTCTACTACCTGAGGAATGGGGGAGAACTTGCTTTGGGGCAAGCAATCAGCAATATCACCACAGTTTTCGTTCTAGAATCTTTTATGACATCCCATAGCAGTCATTCCCAAAATTTTAGGGTCTTAAAAATTACCTGGGAAGCTTGCTAAACATTCAGATTCTTGGAGCCACTGTTAAAAATTCCGGTTCGGTAGATTCGGGAAGGCCCAGTAATCCTGATTTTTCTCAGGCAGCCTACCTGTCCCCTCAGGTGATTTTGAAGCAAATGGTTAGGGACTCACCAGCCTCTTGAGAAATACCATGTAAGGTTCCAGTTAGAAACGAGGAGAGAAGAGAGAGAAGAGAGAAGAGAGAAGAGTGTGATGAAATCTGTAAAATTATATGCATTATCTAACCTGCGTCTCCAGTAGCCACAGTGGAGTTTCCCAACTGAAAGAAAAGCAAGTAAATTCTTTTCTTTTTTTTTATGAAAAGGATGAGCTCAACAAACTATTTTTTCAATTCTGTTAACCACCCTACTCTGGATGAATTTTGGATGTTTTTCAAATTTAGAATTTATTCTTTAAAAATGATCTAATGTGGATATTTTTTATCTTTAGAACTGAAATGAAAATAGCCTTAACCATCTCAAAAGATGTATGTAGTTATTAGAATCCCTTCTCCACATGATTTAAAATAAAACAGATTAGAGAGGTATATACAAAGTGAAGGCAAGATATTCATGGTTAGGTTCTTTGGTCACAAAATTAAGGTTGACTCCTTGCAATACAACCCAGCTTAAACTCACAGCCAAAAGGAATACATGAAGACTAGGCAAAAAAACACTATGGTACTCATCAAAACCCAAGGACC